AAAATTTTTGTGATGGTACAAGATAGCTAAAAAAAATAAATAAAAATATTTTTTTTTTTTTAAATGTTTCTGGCCTCAAAAAATCTTCAAAATTTTTTTACAAATGTATCTTGTCTACATCTATAACATATATTTTTTTTATGAAAATTGATTGAGCTGTTTAATAGATATAAATTTTTTTTGAAATTTTGATTTTTATTTCTCACACCCCAACGGTTGAATATTAAGGGCTAAGTTTGGTAAAATTGTAACCGATATTGATAGCAACTAAATTGTAAAAAATGGTCATGATCGGCACGGGAGCAGATCGCCCCTCCTTATCCAGCTACGGCCTTTAGTCCACTTGTAGCGATTGTAGCGACCCGAACGAATCATTGAAACCTTGACGGACGTGTGAACAACTCACCAAAATTTCATCGCAATCGGATGAATGGTTTACGAACGCATACGAGACAAACAAACAAACATTCATTTTTATATATATAGATAGATAGATAAACTACATAACGTTATTAAAGATAGTTACTAAAAAATTGCAATACTTTTTTTCAATTAATTTTGGAACACAAATATTTTAATCTTCCGAATCACTTTTCCTTAAACAATGCATACAGTACCTTTTTACAATGTTGACATTGCTCTTTATCGATAATTACAGCAATCAACTCTCATTTTAAATTCTGATTTCGCATGATTGAGAAAAAATGTTAAATTTTATTTTATAAGACTCTATAATTTATATAATTTAAACTTTTGATCGTACTTTTGACTAACTATAATTAATTCATTCTTTTATCGACTGACTACATTTACGATGCTAACCCATTTTTGCGTGCTACTAATATGAAATCAAATATGAGAATGACGCAAATATTAAATATTAAATATGGCTCGATTGTTGTTGATAATATAAATTTGTCGTCTTTATCAATATTAATTAACAAGTACACACCACCTTTTTCCGGCTATGAAACGGGATGAATGACAAAATCTTTGTTGAGTGATATTTTTTGGTACTTGACTCAGAATCAGAGAAGGATGCTTTACATCAACTTTTTAATCGCTTTAATATTTGTACACCAAAGATAGCTTTAAAAAAACCGAAACATTTGTCGAGGAATGTAATGGAATGATTTATAACATTAAAATACCAATTTATATGTTATTGTACCTAATATTTATCGCGCTGACTCATTATAGCCCTTTTTTGGTTTATAATTTATTTAATATTCAGGAGTCCATTTAAAATTGTTTTAATATTTATTTAATATTTAATTAAACTAATATTAAATAATAAAAAGGTAATAAAATATTTTATTTATTATAAAGTTCTAAATAAACATTGTTCATTTTTAAATTTTAAGGCATTTTTAATTAAAACAGAATTTCTTTCTTCTTCTATCTTACTCGCTCTATTTACAAAAAAACAATAGTACATAAAATGTATCAAACGTCATATAGAAAACTATAATTTTTTAATCAATTATTATTCTATACATATTTGCTAATATTTAATTTAATAAATGGATATGCTTTTTAGCATAATCAATGTAATAAATGTTATTCTAAGCATTTAATAACTACTGCTTTTTCAATCTTCTTTTATATTCTTGTTTTATTTTATTTAATTTTTTTATTTTATAAATAGTAGCACCTTTATATTTAATTTTAAAATTTTGACTTTTTATCCGAGAGATCCGGCTTCGATTCCTGGCTGAGGTAATATTTTTCGCAATAAACTTTACAGATTCGGAGGAAGGGAGTTCTTATAGATGCATGTTAACATCAAAAGATATTAAATTACTCGTCAATTTAATTAGTTACAAGTGGATTCCGGCTTCATATAAAAACTGTTTCAAGACTAACAAATATTGTGGCGTGCAATTTGTATGTAGTTGGATATTGTAAAAATTAATACACACTAATACTCGTGTCGGCTAAATAGACATTACTTCAGTATATATTTGTTTTATTCTCTCACAAACCTAAGTCCTTCAAATTATTTTTAAGTTTTCTTTTGGAATAATTTTTACACGGTACACAATTGTACTTTTTTGTAATTGTATTATATATTAACATCAATAATATTATCATCGTATAAAATAAAATAAAAGAATAACACTAATAAATAATTATAACATTCAAAACTTATATCCAATTTTTGGATTTCCATGCATAAATATTAAGTTATATATTCATGTTATTTGACTTTGCTCTCAATGTTTCAAATAAAAAATCTTCTATATAACTCTACTATCCGTCTTTAGTGATAAAATTTAATTTTATTTATGCTTACCTTTATTATGTCTGCTGCTTCCTGAGGTATTGTGAGAAAAGAGTCTGTTAAAGCTACTGCAAAAACTTTATGCTTAAATTCTTCTGCGTGTTTTGCTGCCTACAAGACAGATTATGAACAATAATAACACAAGTGCTACAGCAAATCTATCTAAATGTAAATTTGTTTTACTTACAAATTGTACTATACATTGTCCTCCATAACTATGTGCAATAATAGCAATATGTTTTGCCTTACAATTTCGAATATAATCATTCCATACTGCTTCTATATGTTTATGAGGATCTTCACTACCCTAACAAAAATTAATCATTTAACAATTAAAATTTAGGCAATAATTAAAAGAAATAATCAATTTAATATATCGAGAGATAATGACTTAATTACAAGAATTTTATGTGTTTTTCCTGCAGCAATTCTTTCATTGTCATTAGTATTAAGTACTAAGATGTTGTAGCCCAATTCCTTCGCTTTTCTAATATATGGGATTTGTGTACCACTGTAGAGATTATCATTTATTATTAAACGTCTAGCCCATTGTCCAGCCCTAACAACACCACTGCCATGAATTAATATTATCAGTTTGTCATTTTCATGGTTATCTTTATTTGCAAATATAAATGATCTAAATTCTAATGAATTATGAGATTTCTTTGGTACTGGCAGTTTTTCCAAACCTTCTAGTTCTAGCAAATCATACACATAGCGAGTAATTATCTGTAATAGAATGTAGAACTATAATAATGTACAATACTGTATTAAATTATAGCCTTATAAATAATTTTACATACTTCACCTAATTCTTCATATCGCTTTTGGTTATGCTCTGGGTTACTGCTGATTCTGAATTCAAAGCCTTTATTAGTCAAACCAGAAGTTATATCAAATTGTTGAAGCTTTCCATCTATAATATTTAACATTAGCATTTATTCTAGTAAATAATTATATCACATTAAGAATTATAATTCTTATATTCTAATAAAAAATTTAATTACTTGACTAATAATAATCTTCAAAACTTGAATTGTAATGTAATAATTTAATAAAATGTAAGTTTAATATGATTAATCTATAATTATAAAAATAATACAGATTTATTTTCTAATAAAATTCATTCTTTATGTTGAATACGTATAATACAAACTTTAAATAATATCAACATAATAATATCTTTAAAACTTCTTTAATTAATTAAACTCTTCCAATGTAAATTTTTTCTAAATAAGATATATTGTTGTATACAACCTGTATCGAAATCATAACCAAATTTTCGTAACAGAAATGTTGACTCTGTCGACATAATTTCACGATTTATTTAATCTGAAAAACACATTTTTTATTAATTTTGTGGATTATAATTATAGTGGATCATAATTCCTAATATACTAATAACTGATAAATGTAATTGTCATACCTTCTATACAGATAAAACAAAAGTGATGAAGGCATTCGGTTTGGCAATTGGCGTTTATAAGCAGTATTGCTGCGACTCTAAAAAATTATTCACCAGACTTCTGTTCAAAAAGTCATCAGATTAGAATATTTTTCACTAGATTTTTTAAATGTAAATTTAAATGAAAAAACTAATTTTAATTATTTTAAATGATTTAATAAACATATTTAACATATTAATATGCATTATACACATTCCCAGATAACACACAGAGCCCAAAAGAATTCATTAGTATATTCAGTTTTATGTCATCAATTCTGAGGCCCTTCATTTTCAGGCCCAAAAAGAATCCCCTTAAAAAAAGAATTCTTTTTGCATCTGAAAATGAACTCAGAATTAGTGACATATAACTGAGTTCTTTTTTCATTCTCTGTGCTATCTGGAAGTATTATAACATTAAATGTAAAATATATTGTAAATAATATTAAATGTAAAATATATGATATTATATATATATATATATATATATATTACATTTGCAATACATTTTACATTTAATGTTATAATACTTCCAGATAGCACAGAGAATGAAAAAAGAACTCAGTTATATGTCACTAATTCTGAGTTCATTTTCAGATGCAAAAAGAATTCTTTTTCTAAAAGGGATTCTTTTTGCACATGAAAATAAACTCAGAATTGATGATATAAAAAACTGAATATACTAATGAATTCTTTTGGGCTCTGTGTGCTATCTGGGCTGTAAGGTTTATAACATCTCTTTAGTATAAAAATTTTTTTTGAAAAATATATTAAAATCAATATTACTATATATTACTACATATAATTATTAACAAAAAGAATTTAAAAACGTCTATTTACAATTAAATAAATTTATTAATAATTCTTAATTATTTACTTGTTCATAATAATTATTAATTGATAAAAATTTATAATATAATAAATTTATTAATTAATTTAATAATAATTTATAATTATAAATAAATTATACAATAGAACCATTATCTTTTATTAAAACATTGCATTACGTATTTGATACTTATTCACAGTTTTTCCAAAATGTATATTTCCACCTTGTATAAATTCTTATGACAGATATTCTAACCCTCACTCTAATTCACTTAGATGTAGTGATTCACATCCATGTAATATTTGGGCGTTCCAAAATCCATCAAAAAAAAAGATGTCACAACTTTTAATCATAGGTTGCGTTCCGCAAAGCACATCATGCGCATGATGTATCATTGTATCCTTGTTGTTCAACAAATGATAAACAAAGATGAAAGGATATATCATGCGCATGACGCGCTTTGCGGAACGCAGCCCTAGTTTACACCGTTAAATTAATTGATACAAGTATCAGATTGGTACGAACTAAGAGCGAATTCACACCTTGACAGAAAAACTTGAAAGAAATGGAAAACAGAAAAGCAGAAGCCAATCAGAACTCGCACTGATAGCAAGAAAAGCAGAAAGCAAAAACTATTGAGATCGGAAGAGCA